TTAACAAAACGTGTCTAGTAGCAACATTGACATAATCATTGCATGGGTCACCACTGTGAATCATAAGTCCATCAACGAATTTCATTGATTTGGCACGTTGACCTCTTAATTTACCAGATACTACAACTTCACATCCTTTAGCCCCACTTTCCATGATGAATCTCAACACACCATAACATGCCCTCCTGACAGCTAGACCTCCAATCAACTTGTAACGTAACGACTCTGCTTGGGCAACAGCACATAATCCACGTTGTGCTACTTTCTCAGCAAAAAGTTCAACTGCCTTGTCTTTGAAGTCAAAACGTTTCTGGATGAGAGATGTAAGTTCGCGAATCCGGCGTCCCTTGTCACCCAATACTTTTTGGGTACGTGTAGCAGAAATAACAATTTCAGTACGAGATGGAGCAGCTCGGACATCAACACCAGAATAACCATCTTCAGCAAGTTCTCGTGTCAAGAACTCGTTGAGTTCAGCACGTAACATGCCATCAGACACAAACTAAAAATTAAACAAAACCAATAATAAAAAATTAACAAAACTTACATTATGGTTAAGTGATAAACAAGGGTTTTGCCAATGGGGCCCAGACACTCAATTAGGTACATCTAAACCCTACATTCATAGAAGTAAAAATAATATGTATATGGTTTTTTATTAAATGTATATTTCAATATATTATTGTTTAAAGTACATATTATTAAAAAAAAAGCCATCACATAAGTATCATCGCCCTAGACCAGGTAAATATAAATCTACCAATTAGGCCAATTTAATAGTTATAATTTTATACAATTAAGTTATAAATCAATAAGTAATAATTAATGTTGAATGTTTAGAGTAATTGATATTAACAGGTATAATGCACATTCATTAAAAAGGAAGACGTACTTCATAAACGGCATATGATAACAGACACATGTAGTGAGCACCTACTTAATAAAAATAAGTCAACTAACACAACTTTCGATGTCATATTGTTAGTTTCAATGAGAAATAATGTTTTAAAAGATATCAATACAAAATACTAGTTATTTAAGTTATTATATCATGAAAGAAATACCTAATGAACATGCTAGATGCATAATATACTCACCCTTTTCTTAACAGAAGTCGTTTTAGCTGGCATCTTTTCTAAAAACAAATGTAAGTCATTTAAAGCACATGAAATGGAGCTTATAATGCAACATTAAATTTCTAAAATCTTACCTTTTTAATTATTTCCAAGGGTCAAAGGAAAAAAAAGAATTTGACGGCACGCTACAATTTTCAGGACGTAGACCAAATGGCATTAAAAATGTTAACCAAACAATTTCCTTGATGAAATGCCAACCTTACAGTGTAACCAACACAATTTTAGTCTGCCGTGGAAAGTATAGTTTAATATACAGTCCTAAGATAGGCCGTGCCGCCGTAGTTCAATATAAAACAAGCAGATAGCATAGCATATTTTACAAAATGATTTCTTAATTCTTATCACAACTTTACGTCTGGATCACGACTGCGCTAGTGAACACTGAACTCACCAACTCTGTAACTCACAGCCTGCCAGTCTCGCAAAGACATCTCTATGCTCATTGCTCACAAATCAGTTGAAGTCACGGACTCACAAGTTATACGTTATAATAATAATTAATAAAATAATAAATATATTAAAACTACAAACATCGGAAGTCGGAACCTAGGTGCGATATATACCAACCTTGGTCGGAACATGGTTTAGTCATTTCATAATACATATTATTACATAGCGTATCGAGTACGAGTAATGGAATATACTATGGAGTATAAAATTATAGAGCATTGACTGATAACTTGTAGTTAATAACCAATTGGTGTATGATTTAGAATATAGTATAGTAGGCAGGTAGGCTATAGTCCTGCGATATATTTCACCATGGTATAGAGTACTATAATAGACTTATAATTCATGAAACAATTTGCATGTTATGACTTTCATGCATACTGCATAGACCTGTGAGAATTAAAACCAGATATCTTATTTACTCATTGTAAAGTATGAACCAGATACGTATGCGGAAAAAAGGTTCGGGGTGTGTTTTGGAATATTAGTTATTGAAAATGATAACTTTTTTTAAAAAACATGATTCAGTCGACTCTCGATAATTCGAAGTTGGTGGGAGTTAGTAAAAATTTTAAATTACCAAGAGTTTGAATTTGCTGAGTGGTTCAAAATATCAACAGGCCAAAAAAACAATACTTGAATCGCTGAGTTATGCTTATGACATTGATTAAATACAAATTGTATTTAATCAATGGTTATGATAAAATGTCGTATTTACCTATGATAATAATTTGATAGTTATCGGAAATAATAAGCTAGATTTATCATAGACCTTGTACTAAGGTATAAGGTCTATGAGATTTATACAGAATTATTAGACAAATTATTAACGATAAGACTCTAAGAAATACATTTTGGAAAATACACTCCCAATTTGCCGACCGTCGAACTTTGAATAGTCGTGTGTTGACGGCTAGTTTTCCCTGAAATTTTACTACGAATTACCATGTGTACTAAATCTAAATGCATTGTTTTTATTCGAATTACTGCAAGATTTTTAAGTGAACGATCAATATTACTTCAAATTATAGAAAGTTTCAAAATATGGAAGGTAAATGAGAAATTAACTCGAGTTTTTGCAATACTAGAATTGCACGTTGATTAAAATATACAACATATATTATATTATGTACCTATAGGCTATATTGTATTTAAATAACTTTTTTAAATTGTAATTATTAAATACCTATTAATTAATAATTAGTATATCTTCACAATAAGTACCTAATAACATATATACTTCCATAATTAAATAAACTTATATAATTATTATTAGAATTTAACATATTTTGTAAATGTGTGGATGGTAACTAGGTGTATAGTGTCTTAATTGTATTTTTACATTTGTTCAATTCATAAGGAAAATAAAATGTCTTATGTTCTACTTCTACATTCGGGGTAAAAAACTCATTAAAACTTATAATTTTTATTTTCCATAGCTTTATTTTCAATTTTTTACATACAAAATCTGTTTAGTATTATTACAGGGGAGTACCTACTATTCTAATTAATTGGGACTTGGAAAGGAGGAAGAAGCAGGTAAACCATAGTGTAAAGTGTCAAGTGGCCACTCGAGAGACGAGAATTGTAAGTATTTTAAAGCCTTGACACTTACATGTTCTATATTATAATGATTAATGGGTGTGTCAGCAAATTACGATTAGTCTCCCCTTAACTCTTTAGCTTTGTTTTGTACGGGCTTGTTGTGGACTATCGTCTATCAGTTGATAATTTAATGAATGTATATTGTATAATGTACTTAATAAGAAACACTCAAATAATATAATTATAATAAAACAATTTTATACCCTTGCCTTAGTGAAGTCAAGAGATATTTACACATAATAATAATAATAATTAACATTTTGTATATCTACCTACTAAAAATAAAAAAAAATAAATATTCATACACTTTTTAATTTGATTACCATTTAAATCCCTAATGAGAAAACTGAAAAGTAAACACGGGTTATAGACATACTAAAAATATATTTGACATTTTTAGTTTGTACGATACTATTAACTATACAATCATTAATTAGTTGTATGTAATCATTGTAGATAACTAAGAAGAAATTAAAAAATTTAAAATAATATTTCTATTCTTTTTAAAGCATTGAAATAATAACAGTGTATCGTTATAAAATCATTACTATATACTACATTAAATTATTATACAATAGTCTGTAGTTCGCGTTCGCCCATCAAAATGCGTAAAATATAAGTTTATGGGTAGGTATGTATGTACTAGCATGTACAATGTACATAGCTGGTAGATTTAGCTATAAAATTTGAATAATGCCCAATAAAATAATATCTTACTGGTATGATTACGATGTATAGTATATACCTACTCACAACCTACTGAAGAATTAAAAATAAATCCGTATAGTTACTACTTTTTTCTTCGATTTCTGCAATAATTTATTTGTATGCGGGCTTCCTGGTTTCCCACAGTACCTACCTAGATTTTATTTAGGTACTAATAAAGAGTAAAGGTAACATTAAGTTATTGATTATTATTTATCATGTAATCTATTTGTTTTATATGGGTGCGAAGGCGAACCTAGGTACTTACGGGCCACGGCTACTTAAATTTCCCTCAACGAGAAAAAATATATATTCCAGAGAAATATTTCTACACAACATAACCTGTGTTATATGTTTTACATCTTTACATATTTACAAAACAATTAATATAAAAATTAATAAAACAATTACATTTTAATCTAGGTACTTCAAAGTTAGGTAGGTAACATAATATAATATGAGGATTGAGGATATGTAAAGGTGAAGTGTTCTTTTAACTTATCAATAATTAACGTGTATAAGGCAGCTGACATGGTATATTTTTATAGTATTGATGAAAGACATAGGTACCCAAAATCATAGTATTTATGTTTTACGATATTTAGCTTTTTGTATTAGCTGCCTATTTATATCCAAGGAGGGCAAGAATTAAAGACTTTAATGAGGTATAAATAAAAAAAAATGTATGATGAGGATTTAAAAGTTTAAGTATAGGTACAAGGTTCATACGGTACATAAAGTTATAATTTCAAAACAGGTACAGTATTAAAATATTTAAAACGAGGTACACTCAGATATTCAGAATCAATATTCTATGATTTGTTATTGATTACAATTTTTTTCAAACGTAGGTACATCAATATCCTGCTCTGTAAAGTGTTTCAACAATGAGTATCTTATAAGCTATAATATCCTGTTTAATAAAGAGTATAATATATACGACTATGCGTATATTATATTTAAACATAATAATTGAAGTTTTAAAGCTTTATACTTTTCAGGAAAAAGGGATTTCTCCCTTGGGGGTGGCATACTGTTTGTATCTGATATGTACATATATACAGCCATATAAAATATATGTAGTATAAACAACGCCGAGTTTCACGATCCCTTATCCCTATTCCCTTTCGCCTCGGCAATTCAGTATGCTTCATGACGTCAGTCCGAGTGCTCTGTCGACTCTTTATAAGTGATACTTTCTATTGTTCACAGACAAAATAATGTTATTTAATACTTAAAACAAGTTAGGATATACTTTTACACAAATTAAGGTTGGTATTTATAATAACACTATATTTGGTCAGACACTGTAGTCAAAGTCAAATGCTTAAATACATTTTTACTAAAATACACTTATACAACTATACAAGATTTATATTTTATATTATATTTTACTCGATAAATAAACTTAATATTTTTTGTCGATTTATTAAAATTACATTTAATTTTGATAATATTTTGATAAAATTGATAATCACACGGTCTATAATTAATTGATTATTAATAATCTTATTATCTGTTTCACTTTGTAACAATGTATAACGTGTAAATCTATTCTGTTGCCTTTTTAATGTGACTAATTTTGGTTTTTACATTTAATGGAACAGATAAAATCTGAACATACAAACATTTGATTTGAATTGTAATTAGTTACAATAGGTATGTAATATTTGTTTATAGTTTTGTACTAGTTGAAAACTAATAAAATTTTTATTCGTTATTCTTGATTTTATTATATTATTTTATGGTTAAATCCATATAATATTTGTATGTATTATTCAATACACCAGACACAGCATAACAGAAAATGTTTGTTAAAACATTTGTGGGATGATTTACCATTTTTATAATACGGGATTTTGATCACTCTAAACATATATTTTGTTTTATGTTTACTTTTTATATTTTTTTAAATTTTAACTGTGATCTTTGAATATAAACATAATATGACCCTCAAGGCTCAAGAATATTACTATATACAATAAATAATCTAAACTGTTTAGTATAATATAGTATACACACTTTTGATTTTTGTTATTATTTGTATTAAGCATTTAGGTAAATATGTGAAGAAATGGCTGTTGAGTTATGTCTATCATCACGTTTAACAGAACTCCTCGGTGATCGTTTGTTATACGGTTCGGCGACAGTGGAGCTAAATGAGTCGACGTTCAATGGGTCTTTAATCGCATTGTATTTCGTCCCATTAGGCAGTGAAACTGTCACAACCGATGATCGAGCTCTACGTGATCTATACAAAACTGTAAACGAGAACGAGAAGACACTAAATATTATCCAGATTTGTTATCCAGACTTAGCTGATGACCGCAAGTATTTTGATGAATTGACCAATGATGTTCCGTGGCATTCAGTTCTTTACGAATACGCAGAGAAGAGAGTAAGCATAAAAATTAAAAAATATAAAAATTTCTCTTGTATATACAAGTATTCATTATAAATATATACAAATATAATAAATAATACAAATATCACGATATATAACTATTATAATTATAATTATATATTGTAATTTTATATTTCAATCAAATATTTATACTTAGTTTAAAAAATAATATTTTTATTATTCACCTGGTGAAAGCCATTTCTCTATAGGCTTATTAGTAATGTCCTCAAACAGAAAATTTTTAACATTTACACATTATAATGTCAAAGAGTGATGAAATTGTACGTTTCTATAGGTTAGCTATAAAAAAAAAAAATACGATTAGACTTTAAAATATTAAATATAAAGTATTTCTGATCGGCCGCTTAACGATATAACTCACTTGGGGTTTAAAAGTACTTTAAAGTTTAAACCATAATCCAATTATTTATTTATATCGTTTCAATTTTAGAGAAAAGTGGAATAAATAGTTTTCACGAATTAAGAAAATTGAAATAAGCTTATAACATCACCGCAACAAGCTTAGTGGTCATTGGTCCGAATAAAAGTTAATTTAAAACTCCGTTAGTGTATAATGTTTTTTGAACAATATGTAAATATTTAAAGGTTATAATATTTTCATACATTAAATAATTTAAAAAAATTAATATAAAACATTAAGTCAGTTAGCAGAAGATATGGTGACTCATATTTAAATCTACATAATTTTTTATAGTTTTTACATATTATGTACCTTTCTATAAATAATATTATATTATAATGTAACAGATCGTAGTAAAAAATTAGTAGGGTGTTCACTTTACTTTTAGGGATAACATAGTATTATACAACAGAGACCTCCTATGGTCACATTCCCTAAAGTACGATTTATTGTAACCCCCTCGGGATTCTCACATTTTAATAACAACTGGTCCCTCCTCTCCTATATCATTCTCATTTAAGCTTTCATGCACATCACATCTCCTTAAGATTTGGCACCCTCAGTAATTTTTTTTTGCATGCATTTTATTACTTTGGGGTTGTCCGCTTTGCTCATAGTGACTCTTCAGCACGCACCTGCATCCATATAC